CTTACTGTCTTTTTCTTTCTTTTGATTCTGTCCTCATGTCCCTCATTTAAAATGCTGCACAATGTACTACTAACGTAATACTACTATATTTAAACAAATGAAAAATCTCTCTTAGTGCTTAGACATGTATTTTCTATGTTAATCTTTATAGTTTTTTTCCTAAAACCAAGCTAAAATAATAATAATGACCTTTTGTGGTAGTTGTTAAAGGTTATTAGCAACAGTATCACAGTTACTAGTGTACATCCTGTTCTTCCACTTGGAGTTTTTTTCCCCCTGTTATCTTTCAACGTGAGATATATTAGAGCCACTGTGTCTCACTGTGGCCATGTCACTCTGTCCTCACAGCCTTGCTTCTATCTAATTTTCTGCCAGAGTGCTGCCTCAGTGTAGAGTAGAGTATTCATGCTAATAGTCAAGAGCTCTTCAACACATTCTCTTCTTATTAAAGACCTCTCCCGTTTCCTACATATTTGGAATGGAGAACTGCTAAAAATGTTTTGCATTGTCTGTACCTATTCATTCAACAGGACATCACAGCTATCTCTGTGCTGGGCGGAATGACTGCATTGTGGACAAAATTCGGAGAAAAAATTGCCCTGCGTGTCGCCTTCGAAAGTGCTATCAAGCAGGAATGATGCTTGGAGGTATCATTTGGTTTTATTTATCACGTAGTCCCAAGAAACCATGATTAAAACCAAAGAGAATATTCTGCATGTTTAGATTAAAAAGAAAATCATGACTCAAAAAAACAACAAAAAACCCCTCAGGATATTTTACTCTTTCAAATGTCTTATTGGCACGAATTTAGTGGTTTCCCATCAGATCAAACCAGAACTTGTGTTCACGTCACAGGGAGGAAACTGAAGCGCTTTGGGGCCTTGAAAGACACAGGTTTGACCCCATCCCTGATGTTCCGGTCCCACTTGACCATGCCCGGTGACAGCCAAGCCTTGACTCCCATGTCTTACATACCAGGCATTCATGAGCTACAAGTCTCCCAACAAATGATCAACATCCTTGAAAACATCGAACCAGAGATGGTGTACTCTGGTCATGACACCTCCCAGCCTGATGCTCCCCATCTTCTGCTCACCAGTCTCAACAGGCTGTGTGAGAAACAGCTGATGTGGATTGTGAAGTGGTCAAAATCTCTCCCAGGTAACAGCTTTCTGCATCTCAGGGCCATCACAGTTGTTGTCATGGGGATCTAGTGGCGGGCCTTGTTGGAAGTCTAAAGTCCTAAACGCCAAGATAGAAGACTTTGTAATGCCTTGAATATTGTCACCGAGTCTAGTGTTTGACAGGAAATTTTAATATAGTTTAATATGACTGTAAACACCTACTGAGACAAAAATGTTACTGTTACTGGAAAACCATATATATACGAGAAGAAATGTTATGAATGAAATGTTCTTCTTCTTCTTCTTTTTTTTAGGTTTTCGTAATCTACACATCAATGATCAGATGACACTCATCCAGTACTCGTGGATGAACATAATGGTGTTCTCTCTTGGGTGGCGCTCCTTTCAGAATGTCACCAGTGAATATTTATACTTTGCACCTGATCTGGTTCTTAACCAGTAAGTAACCACAGTCATCGGCAATTGAAGATGGCTTTCGGTTGGTGATGATTCATGAACTCTTTTATCCATAAGTTAGTGATTTCAGTTGATAGACTGGTTATCCAGAGACGTAAACCATTTTGTCCTTTTGTCCATTAGGGAGCAAATGAGGAGATCTCCAATTTACGACCTCTGTCTAGCGATACAGTTTATTCCTCAGGAGTTTGCAAATCTTCAAGTTACACGCGAAGAGTTTCTTTGCATGAAAGCCATAATATTGCTCAACACAGGTAAGACTGTTACGCTAGGGATGTTCGATGTAACGCTCGGATGACGATATAAAAAACGTCTATTGTTGCATTTTACGCTATCGTTTGTTTCGTGGTGTCGCAAAATAAACTGTTTACGGCAATATTTTTTCATTATTTTGATGGTCACTGTAGTGGCTATATTAATTTCTTAAAGTTCTCTCTTTCTCTTATATTTAATATAACAACACTACAGACAGACAAGCACTTGTTTTTATGCGTCGTCGTTATTTCCACATAAACCTTTCACAATAAAGCTCAAGATCCCGTTGAGACTTTTCAAAATAAACTGAATCAGAGATTTTGGTCATATCGCACAGCCCTATGTTACGCCGTTAAGGAGACTTACAAACTAAGCTATGATCAGTTACAGCTGCACTGCACAATAAAGACAGTTTTATAAAAGCAGTGTGCATCTTGACAAGATTTATGTAGCAACTGCTATCAATCCTAGTTTTACTAAAGGCATTTACCTTTAACATCATTGCTGGCTGGTACTTGCATAACATCTCCCCAATATTTCTTTACTTTAATACTGTTTTGAAATGTTTAGTGCAATTTTAAATATGCAAATATCTTCTCTGCACTTAGTGCCTCTTGAAGGATTAAAAAGTCAGGCAGCATTTGATGAAATGAGACAAAACTACATCCGGGAGCTGACCAAGGCTATTCACATGAAGGAGAAGGGCATCGTGGCATGTTCCCAGCGATTCTACCACCTCACCAAACTCATGGATGCCATTCATGATGTAGGCTCCCCCACAGAGCTCAGTATAACCGTATATACGTTTTTGCCACTTTAACAACTACCAAGACCCAAATTGATGTTTCTTTTTTAACAGATAGTAAAGAAGGTCAGCCTGTTCTGTTTGAGTACCTTCATCCAGGCAGATGCCATGAAAGTGGAGTTTCCAGAGATGATGTCAGAGGTCATTACCTCCCAGCTTCCCAAGGTCCTTGCTGGCATGGTGAGGCCCATCTTATTCCACAGCAAATGACATTGCCAACACAGATACTGCAGCTCTGTGAAGACAGCTTGTGTCTGGATTACTCATCCCATTGTTACTGGATTCTTCATTTTGCCAAAATGCCTCTAATTTGCTTGAGGTAAAAAAGGATGACCAGGTTTCTTAAAATGTTTTTAGCAGAGACATATCTTGAAAATTATACATTTAGAGGCATCAATCAATAAAGTTCCTATGTTTTATTCAGGTGTATCCACCATTTCCATTCCTACAAGTTGTGTATAAAACTTGCTTTGAAAATAGTAGGTTTTAAGAAAACCATTAGAGATATTTTTGTATTCAAAACAAATAAAAAAGAAATACAAAAATGCTAACATTTGTCAAGGAAAGGTGCAGAATAAATTGAAATTTGTGACGTAGGCTAATCAATACAGGATACCAGCATAGTAACTCACCATACCTACTTAAGGAAGGTGAAACCTTTAAAATAACTTTGTTTAAAATATTTATAAGAACAAAAAGTGACATATGAGCCATATTTTCTTAACAAAACTTAGCTCACCAGCTTTAATTTACATCCAGATCTGCATCAACATAAATGTAAATGTAAATAATGAGATCTTAATGCGATGCAAGTGACAACTGCAAACATGTTTAATACCATTAATGTTGCACTGTTAAGAAATCCAGACCATTCAGGACAATAACCACATTTTCTCCTGAGTTATCGCAACTTCTGAGTTCTTTGGCCAGGAAATGCGACAAATTTGAAGTAAAACATTACTGGCGTGACAAGATTAACGGGTCCAAATGTAAAATAAAATAAAATTTATTGTCATGTCTTTATGGATAGGAAGAACACAGTGCTATCCTTGAGGAGAACTTTACTGCTACAAAGCTTTATCTCCACTCACTAACTATAGCAAAGAAATTTGGACAACTGGTCTAATAAATCACGCTTAAGTTTATTTATAGACATGTTTATGCACCGTCAGGATACAGTAGATGTCTCCAAGGCATCAAACTACCAGTATATAAAAGGATGCCAAATGTTACATATTTGGGATATGAATATCATTTCAATGATATAACATGCCCCTGCAAATTCAGACTCTAAGGGAGTACAAGCCCAGCATCGCTGTTCAAGGCTGCTTTGCATTCCTAACATGTAAAAGGAAAAGAAAAGAACATCCTGATCTTGGCAACAGCGAAACTAAAAATGCACTCCCAGGAACAATTTGGCTAGCCAGAGAAACCTTTACTTCAAAGTGACCTTTTTGTTGATTTTTCTTTTATGCTTTTCTTAAACGGTATCAATGAAGTTAACTTTTTATGTAATTAGAAACATTTCTTTAGAAAAATGCTGTGACAGAAATATCTGTATCTGTTAACGCGATGCTTGTCTAGTTGTCATTACCAGTACACCGGTGTATCAAGGACACTTCTCGTAACATTCATTTGTAACATTATAAAACAAACATGTGATATATATTATTGTGAGCAGTGTATAGTAATAATAAAAAAAATAATGTCATGAGAAGTAAATATCTTTTGATGTGGAATTACAGAGAAAAAGACTTACAAGCTTTAATGTACATTACAGTACCGTGTAGCTACTGAACCGGAAAGTGCACTGCAGCAGTGAGGAGATTCAGTGGATGAGCAATGATCAGAGTACAAAAACATGAAAATTAAGGTGCAAACCCATTATACTTTTTTTTCCTATTAGATTCAAATAGATCTTCTCATTTTAAATCACAGCTTGTTAAATTACAGTCAATACAAATGTTTATGAGACAGCAGATTTCCATTAACCTCTTGATGAATATGTTTTGCTAATATAATGGGAAGTTAAAATATGATATTTTTCTGAGAATAAAATGTGTGAAATGGGATATGATATTGTTTGGTGATTTTGTAAGTGAACGCTGTCACTCAGTGCAGCCAGCAGGCAACATAGTTAAATCTAACAATAATGTCCATTCTCCGGAAGCACACAATAGTCATTACAGTAAGGGAGGTATATCTTTGGACTTGTCGCACTGTTTAAGCAATTATTGACCTGCTTGATAACTGCTAAAAATGCATAATATGCATTAGTATAATAATAGGGACATTTAAGCACATTGTGTGATTTGTTTTCCATGGATACCATGAAAAGATGCAAAGTTTACCACCTGTCAGAGGAAGACAACATAATTCTCTGGGATTAAACCTGTTTTTCCCTTGTATGTTGCTTGGAGCCAGCCTGGTTCAACAGAGGGGTAGACTACAGGACAGAAGAGAGAAAAACATACCGAGCCAGTGAAAAAACAGATTCAGACTTCTGATCTGGAATAAGCTGATTTGAATCACTGAGCCTATATTTGACTGCTTAATTTACAAGAATTAATGAATATTAGATTGAGGAGAGCTCTGGGCTGGTCTGCTGTTCAGATTCAGTCCCCATGAAGTATTTGAATTTTAACCATCGTGAAAGAAACGCAAACAGTTTAAACCATTAAAACTAAACTAAATTATTGCGGAGATTCACCAGAACAAAGGGAAACAGCTGTAAAATGTCCGGTAAATACAATCTAGCAGAGATTTGCTGAATTAAGATGTAGAGAAAACGGAGAACAATAAAAGTCTGCCTGCTAGTAAATTGTGGGGAGCACTTGTTGACGTTTTTGCATTTGGCTCTGCTGGCTGTACTAAGAGGAAACCGGCACTGGTGCCTTTCATTACTAGGTTACAGTGACCTGCCTACACTGTTTGTGGACCAAGTCATCTCTTAATGGAAACAAGCAGGAGGCAATAAAAAAAATCTTGGCACTGTTTTGATGCTCATAATGTATATGGGAGTGTCGCGCTAAGAGCAAAACTTTTCCATTTCAACACTGGAAATTCACCAAGTTCCTGCTCTTTGCTGTCAGCACAGGTCAGGCAAATTACCCCCTCTGTGTGTACAGTATTTACACTTCCGATCAGCCTCTCAACGAATCATTCGCAATCTTGAATCCGAACACTTTTGCTGTAAAGCAAAGGTCGGCTTACAAGCAGACAGTTAAATGTGATTATGTGTTTGCGCTTTTTCTGCTCACCGTTTGAGAAGTGTGCCCCCTGTGGGAAGCTGAGCTCGTGACTGTGCTCTGCCTCACAGGAATACATTGCCTTGGCATCTCTGTAAAGACAACAAAAATATGCTTTGTAATCGCAGATTTAAGCAGATAAGCATGGGATCGATTAGGTCAAACTCTTGTTTGGTGTTGTCATTTTTTATCACCTTCCAACTGGAGCAGACTGTTGGGCGGAGGCATTTTCAAAAAGCAATGCTCGGGCAGCCACCCTGAAAACAATCGGAAAAAAAAACAATAGAGTTCAGTGCACTTCATTGTGTAAAGTATGTCAAGCTGTAATTATGCCATTAAAGACATGCATGAGCGACAATTAAGATGATTTTAAAATAATGAAACAGCGTAACTGTGTGTTATCTATTATAATATATCAGTGCTGTCTTGGTTTACTTGCTCTTGCCAGCATTTTTCATTGTTGAGAATGAAATGAAAGGCTTAACCACACAATATGGGAGGTTTCCTTCCTCCTGGCAGACTCAGCTTTAACACAAAGCTCAACTGAGTTAAACTATATAACGAGGCCGCACTTGACCCTGGACATAACAACCCCAGAGTCATGGGGACAACAGAGACTAGGGCAAGCTAGCTCGATGCTATACGGGAAAACTAATTGAAAGACAAGTGCGACTGGCTTCTTAGACACGACAAGTCAAACTATCTATTCATCTCAAGAGATCTAGCGCAGACTGGTGCTGGGTCACAGCAACCCGAGAGCAGGCAGAACGTAATTAAGGCCAGCTCTCCCACTAGAGCAGAAAAGACATAAATCTCACAACACACACTCATCTGTCCTTAGAAACCTCTCGATGCTCGCAGATGGAGCAGAAAGCAGAAAACTCAGAGGGCAGAAAACTCAGAGGGCAAACAGAGAGGAAGGGAGAAAGAAAATCAAGTATATATGTAAAAGCCTGTTTGACTTGTATTTATTTTGTGGAGACATGTTAAAACTCTAACTTATGATGAGAAAAACGATTTGGTTTTTAAAGCTCTTTACACTGAGCCGGGTCTTTGGTAGCCATTGCTGACTGAAGTGTCCATCCTGCGGCGGATCACTTGTTTTGGAGGAAGGTTTGGGTGCTCAGTAGGCTTAAAACTCTCTTTGGACTCCAGTGTTGATAAACTTTGGACAGATCCAGAGCAGCTCCTGTGGCCTGAAGGGCGACATACAAATAATAACTCGTAAATGACACATAGAAACAAAAGGCAGACACTAAGGAACAGCTATCACGCCGCATCAAATAAATCAGGAAATAACAAAATATTCTCGAGCTACTGTCAGTGTTTGAAAGCCCTTGAAGGATAAATCATAACAGTGAAAACTACCCAGTTTATCTATTCTGTCCTGAAATTTCACTTTCATGAGATTCTGATCGATTTGATTTTAAGTCAAAATAACTGCAAATTACGTTTCATATGGCATCGCTTCACGATTATCGTACCTTCGGATATATGCAATGATTTGAGGGAGGGTGCAGTGGAGCGGTTTAGCAGCTCTGGCCTGAGGTCAGCACGACAGTGTGGGGCTTTCTTGGGTGCAGGAGACAGCCTTGGCGTTGTGCTGACTGAGGACGAGCTAAGAGCATCCTCTGACTCGCCATCTGTGCGTCCCGTGTCCTCCCTGGAGCTCGAGTCGGGACTGCTGACAAACACGGCACTTTGGGAGCCATTTGAAAGCTGTGAAGGTGTCCGGCGGAGGTCCAGGAGGGATTTGTCCTGACATGTCCTCTGTCTAGAGGAAGCTGTTTTGGAGGAGGTGTTTTGCTCAGAGGAATGGGAAGACAGAGACTCCATACTCCCCATGGGGGTGCTGTCTGGACTGCTGCTCAAAGCGTCACCTATGCAGGGACCAGAGACGAGGCACACAAGGCCCTCATTAAAACCTGCTTAGCAAGTAAAAGATTTTAGCTTCTTTGCAATTTAGACCAAAAATGTTTAGATATTATATTATTCATTAGCTTTAGAGAGCTGGCCTAAATATAGGAGACTGTGTGTAAAGATTCCTAAAAGATATTAAAGGCGTGGTTTAACAAATTGTGACACTCATCACTTCCTTGGTACTCACTATCTGCATCTGCAAGACACAGTGTGGGAGTGTAGAGGCTCCGGGGTTTTCGGGGCCCTGTGGACAGACAGATGGCCCTGCTCCTGCGAGAGCCAGGTCGACTCTGGGGCTGGGGCAGAGGCACATTGGGATCTGGAGGCTGGTGGAAGATCTACAGGTCCAGAAAGAAACACTGATTACTCAATACAAATACAGAAACTATGTATTTCTATACAGTCTGACATTTCAACATTTCTATCAGTACTCTTCAAACACTCTCAGTACCCAGTTTATATATTTTGATGAACTAACCTCTAACTAACAAATCTTAACCACCAGACATCTAGCAAATCTTGCTTTTTATATCTCTGGTTTAACGGTTCTGTAAGTAAACATAATTATAGCAGCTATATAAAAGTATAGGAAAATATTTATCCTACATAGAGAATTTTTCAGTTTGCACAAAGTTTTGTTAAACAAAAGTTTTGTTCATTTGGTCAAAAACAGGAAAATGTTAAATAAGGTGACAGACACATTGCCTTTATGATAGATTGGGTGATTGTGCTTCTCATGCCACCCCTCGGGGCTCATTCAGAGCACGAAAAAACCCTGTTATTAGCGACTGGCGTTGAATTACCTCCGTGTTTCGGCGTGCATTGATAGCCAGTCTAGCAGGATGTGCGTGCCTGTCCCTCCCTATAAAACTGTTTGCCGATGTTACACTTATAAAAGGATGAGATGGAATTTCAATTACAGTGTTAAAGTCACAAGTTTAAAAACCTCACATTTTCACCTGTCATAATACATCATATCTGTCAAACTGTTCGACACACCCAGGAGGCTAAGTAATTATGAAACAGACAACAAAGAGAATATTCTAAGTGTAAGGAGACTGTTCAGTCTTTCATCTATTTGATTTACATCATATTTCAGGATCATCTGAATGTGTGTATCATTTGGGTTACATTAGATTCCTTTACGATGTTACCTTAAAGGCAACGAATATAAAGATGGCGGCCGCTAGGATTGCTAAGATTGCCAATTTCCCTTTATCTGCAATTGCATTTATTTGTCTTTAATTTGATATCTCAAGTGTAAAAAAAAAACAATCGCTTGTCCATTGAACAAGCTACCTAACTGCCATTAATTGTCCACCTTTAAAACAGCCTTTGGGCTATGACACTGGGTGTTCAGTAAACCAGTACAAACATCTCTGTAGTTTTTTCTTGATCATTCAAGCTGGAAAGGATTCAGAAGCAACCCCAAAGGATGCCTTCAATGTATCTGTGAGGCTAAAAAAGTAGAACTTCAGGGTGAGCCCCTAAAGCAACCAAGAAAGTGTGTAGAACCCATTTCAGAGAGTCGAGACTGATTTAATAAGACAGAAAATAGCAGAGAGAGATTCGATATTGTCACGATCCTGGGTCTTATGACCCAGTGTTTTGAGTTTTAGTTCTTTTGATGTTTATAGTGTTTGTTTAAGCTTATTAGGTTTCTTATGTTCATTTGCTTATTAGCTCCCCCTTGTGTTTTCAACCCCTGTGAAGTCTCCCTTGCCCTTCGTGTGTTTCATGTCTGTGTGTCTTATGTTGTCATGTCTGCCTCTCATGTTTCCTGTTTTATTTTGAAGAGATCTTGTGTTCCTGTGTTCATCGTGTTTAGTTTTACTCTTCCACTGTGACATCGTTATGTTCATGTGTGTCAGCTGTCCCCCATGTGTTCCCACTTCTCTCATTAGCCTCCTGTGTGTATTTAGTCCGTGCGTTCTCATTCAGTCTTTGTCGGATCGTCTGTGTTGTTCCCATGTCAAGTCCTGCATTCAGGTTTTCATATATATAGATATGCGCTCATCTTCATTGCCATGTTTAGAGTTTTGTTTGTTTTTCTGCCAGGGTTTTTCATAGTTCGTGCTTCCTTTCTAGTTTACCCAGTTTAGGTTATTGCTTAGTTTGCATTGTTTTTGCCCTTTTATTTTGTACTGTTCTGTCTGCCTTAATAAACAGCTCATTAGTTAAGTTTGAGTTTTAGAATGTCTGCACCTGGGTCCACTCTTCACACTCCACACAGTTTCCCTCGGCAAACTGTGACAGATATGCATCTAACCAGCCTCTGTAATGATAGTAGTGAAGCTCACTATGAGAACATACAATCTGAACCAAATTTACCTGAATCCGTACCCACTCTTGATAGTGGAAAATCCTACCAGTTTGCTCAAACCTGTTCTGTTCATAGTCATAGGTACTGTACCTTTGCACCATATAAGCATAAAAGACCTGCTGCAGTACCCCAAATGGAGTCTCAGGTTCAGGAACCATAAGCCTCAAAAGCTTATGTGCCATTTAATCCAGTCTCTACCCCTTGTGTGCCTTATAGCTCCACATTGGCTTCTCATACACCTTCAAAGTGAGTTTTGACACCAAACCTCTCTCTCCTTATATACCAGAAGCCAATCTACAGCTCTACAAGCACCTCAAGTGCCCATTAAAGGCCAAATAATTTGCCTCCTGACCAAATGCCACCAATCTGTTCCTTTGTATGTTCCCATCAAGTCCAACCCTCTGTATCTGCAGGGGCTTAGCATAGTTTGCCAACCTATGGCCTATATTTTCAGTTACCACCAGTTCAGCAGGCCATGGCCGCATTATATGCAGTTTGACCTCCACCCATTATTACTGAAACCTCACTCTATTTGTTCTCCTTTACCTACCTTTCCAGTAACATTCTCCGTGTGAATACCAGTGTGTACCTCAGCAGTTTATATAGTAGCCTCAGGCCCAATACAGGGTCTCATATTCAACTACAGTATCAAGCTCCACACAATTCTCTGGTGCAAAACAGGTGTTTGTTTTAGGTGCAAAAGTCAGCATCCAGACATAATGAAGAGAACCCAGATATCCAGAGTGTTGCACTTGAACCCACAGATTATATTATCTAAAGTCACGCTAAAGGTAATTAAAATAAGACTTAGAAACAAGATTAGGACCTTTGATGCCTTTGCTGTCTTAGATGATGGATGGAGCATAGTAATAATAATAATAAT